GCCCCCCCCCCCGTGCTCTCTCGCGGTTTTCCCATTTACTCTTTATAAGCTTCCCGCCTTTGATCCTCGTCGCGCACTAACTTGTCGATCTTATCTGCCAAGTTCAATGGAACTGTGATGGACAGCCGGTTTCGCGCTCGTGCCCCCGTAATCATCTTCGATAATGTAATCTGTGTACGCGCGTGTAAAAAGAGGAAATATGATGCACGCGAGAAGAGAGATAGGATACTCGTCTATTTTTAAACTTTTCCGAGGAAGGAGAGTATCTTTTTTTAGATACGCAATCTTCGGACGGGAAAAAAATTGGTCGACTTTATTTAATTGTTCAGAAAATTAAATGTGCGAAAATAAATTATACTTGTTTCGCTGCTTATAATGCATGTCGTTTCGAAACGTTAAGCTAATGAAGAAAAACTTAATACGAGTAAAAAAAGGTCCTCCTCTCATAGAAGAGCATAACTTAAGAAACACTCGAGTGGAATTCTGTCTCGAAAATCGCAGTTATTATGCAATATATATAAATGATTAATTGCTATCTTATATCTTTTTAACTCATTCATATTCAAGTCAAAAATTTAAAGATAAGCGACATTCGTCGCGTATATATCGCACCAATTCTCAGCGTGATTATGCTAAATACTTCCAGCCGACCTACAAAGTTTCGCATCGCGTATAATTAATGACTTTCCGAGAGCGATTAATTCGCGGCAGGGAGAACTCGGTTGCGTCTTGCGAGATGTCTCGCAAAAAGGAAGTCTTTGCGAGAAGATAAATTTGTCGGGCGCTGCAATTTGACTGTTAATCATTTGTCATTCGCGCGCGGGGGGCACTTACCGCGTGCGTTGACACGTCGCGACCTTCTCCACGCGCGCGCAAAACAGCCGTGTGGTTGTACTTAACGATCGTCCTCACTATCGGCGAGAAACGAAACGAAGGGAGGGCGGTCGTTCTCCGAAGGCCTGTTGCGCGAAATCGAGAAACTCGTGCTTCGCTTCGTTCGCGACAACAATGTATAGCTTTCAAGACGGAGTTTCATGCGACAATCTGGATTAATTAACCTTGGGTTAATCTTCTGTACAGTTTCTTTTAGATTGCAGTCCTGATTTGCAATACGAACAAATTGAGTTAACGAGAGTTGCCGTTAACCGACTGATGCAATCGGACTTGAATATAAGCTCCGGGCGCGAAACGGAAAAGTGACAACGAGCACGACGGGGATAGGTATACCAAACGGATACTCGGCGCGCAAATTAGATATTTCCAAAGATTTTCCAATTTTATTAGCAAAGATAAAGTTAAATGGAATAATATATATACGAACACGTGTTTGACGAATGCGACGCCGTTCGAGAGACGCCTTCGCGACGGTTTGATGATTTACCTGTCGTTTGCCATGTGACAATTATTCGCTTTATCGATCGTAAATCTAAAAATCACTTTCGTTGACATAGATCTCACAAAAAGACCCTTACATTTAATCTTGGAACAATAAATGCCGTAAATAGTTTTAATTTTTGAATTTTTTTACATTCTTATCGTTGTAGATACATGCGTACTTTACTCGTAAAATATATGTGAAAACATAAATTTGCAAAGCTTTCCCAAAACTCTGGACGAGTTGTCATACTTGTCCCTTCGCTAAGCAGTATTAAAGGGCAAGAAAAAAATGTAGGTGCGATTCTAGGATAATCTGCTGTGATAAAGTAAAAAGATTTTTTTTTTGCGCGCTCTTACGTGTTCAGAAAATAAAGGAAGGTCGTATACATATCATCTGTGGCGAGGTCTCCCTTTCAGCGTCAGGAAAATATGTCAAAAGCACACCGAAATATATGTGGAATGTGGTGTAGGTGTACGTGTGTATACGCCAATCCTGTACCGTATAACATCGCGAGTGCGTGGTGTACATTTTTTCAAGCCGCAGCCAAATTTTATTGCAGTTTCGTTTGTTTTGTTTTTTTTTACTCCCACGACCGAATCGTCGAATAACGGAGATGAAAGCTTGCGCCGGAAAAAAAGATGATGCCGGAAAAAAGATGAGAGGAGCGACAACACGGTGGCGGCGTGTTCGATATCTGGTTACATTCTTATTGCCCTCGCGTGCTCGCGCACGGTTCAAGGGGAGGAAGATTTAACTTTTCTACATGGCTCCTACGTAAAAGCTCTCGATAAAAGAGATACGGCCATGACAGGGAGGCGCGTATATAACGAAGATCGACGTCCCGCCGTGGAATCATCAATTTTGGTTTAGTTCTACCTTCCGGCCATTTTCCCGGTTACGTTGACGGCAGCTCGTTGTTTTCCCTTTGACCCTTCGTACATCTTCAATCTTTTCGCTTTCCACATGGAGACTTCTCGCTAAAGATCAATTATGAGGAAGATTAATGTTAGGCTCGACTAGTTAATCAA